GCTCCGGGGCGCCTGAGGCAGGGGCGAGCCTCCTGGTCCCTCCGCAGAGGATGCGGGACCAACTGCCCGCGCGGTCACACGTGCACATCCTCGCATGCGTTTGACAATTTTCTAGAACATCATTTTAATGGAGTAAGTCAGCATGGAAGATTTGGTTTATTTTCCAGCATATTTGATGCTTCATGAAGGATGCAGTTTTACTTCAGACCGCTCCTTTATAACCCTACTCATCAAAGAAATGTTCTTGTCATTAGCAAGGTGTTTCCTTTAAATCACTTCCCTATCTGTGTTTCTTATCCATTGTGACATGAATTTTCCTCTACAAAATGAGCTGTATAATTTTGCTAAGGAAGTGCTAAGTGCTTTATTTTAGGAGCATTATAGGTTGACGCAGACTTTCGACATATCTTAAAAAACCAAAGGCTATGTTCTGCCTCTGCAGTGGTTTTATGGTAATTGCTTGTAATCCAGTCACTGCCTATCTGCAGGAAGTGCTCCAGCTACACGGTATTTCTTCTGACCCACCCCACTCACACAGAACTGACCTTGAAAGGTTTCTCCACCATGGTCCATTGGAGAAAATTATTCTCCTTTTCAATAATTGTAAGAGCTTGCAATTACATAGTATCTCCCATCTGCAAACCTCAGTGCGTTACGTTTGGCACTGCTGAAGGGCGGCAGCAAGAACCAGGGGAGCAGCCAGATGTTATTGCACTGGGGCAGGACCTGCAGGAGCTCTGGCCAAGGCTTTGGGAGCCTTGAACCTCAGAAAAATCCCGCCTGGTGTCCCCAAGGTGGGCAGGAGGCAGGAGCCAAATTGGTGGCTGTGGACCACCCTCCCCTGGGCAGGGAGGAGGTGAGTGGGCTCCAAAAAGAGGGGAGAGACCGGCTTGATGAAATGAGATGGCATTAATTAGAATTGATTTCATTTAAAAATCTTTGGGCCTATCACATCATCTTAACTATTGCATAAAACATTTAATTTTAATAATGCACTTTAATCTTTTCATTTGTGGGAGTGCTTGATGCTGTTCCATGGGACTAAGAGCAGCCATTCTTCTCTTTGCGGCTTTTGCAGATAGCTGGGTGAAAATGTGCATCCTTTTACAGTGACCATGCCCATGTGCAGAAATTACACATTTTCTGATCGGTTGCTTGCATTTGCTTGGACGCACGTGTGAGTTGCTGTATCTGTAAGAAAAGCAGCATTACGGTGAGGCGTGCAGGTTGAGACTGGACCTCGGCGCTTGGGTGGTAGTGGAGCGTTGCAGCAGGATCAGAGTCAGACCTGAGAACCGCTCACTGGAAATAAGAGATGCTCTAAGGAACACGAACAAATGCTGGCCCACAGGTGTGTTTCCTGGTCTGAGTGTGAAGGTGGCTAAAAAATGCCTTCCTGGGAGACGTTGTGGCTCAAAGGGGAAGAGCTGATTCACAGTCCATTATAATTTGTACATCTGGAAATTTGTTAGAGTAATTAAATGCTAATATAAAAAGGAGATTCAAAGGGATGGCTTCCTTAAAGATTACTCTCGAGTACCCAGGGTCAAAGTAAATTATAACTAATGCAGTTGAGAAGTTGGATCTTTCTGGATGATTAAATGTCACAACTGAGAAAAGCGGTAACTCAGCTTTCTCTATTGGAACATCTCATTATATTCCAGGCCACTGACAGACACAGTGGGTTCCGGAGAGGTGACACGTAAGGTCTTGTGCTGATAATCCATCCTTTAATTATTTTATGGAGGTTAATGTTGCTGTCGTAGAGTAGTAGCTTGGTCTTAGTAGTGAATAATAGGTTTTAGTGGAAATGAGTTTAATGGAAAATTAAAGCGGTGCAGAATGGCCGGATTGCACATGAAGGCTGCTGGTGACGTTCACGCTGCTTTAGTATTACTTTAAAGGCTTTATTTTGCCGTTGGTTTCCAGGAAGCAAAACCATTTTCTCTCCTACTATGTCCTCTGTTCCTTGTAAGGATTACCTCCTTCCTCCTGTATAGAAGCATGCAAGTGCACTTGAGGAGTAGTTTTCTGATTGAAATACCAGCCCAGTAGCCCAGTATATATAAAATATATATATGAAAATAGAGGCAGTGCCTGTACCTCATCTATTAAGAATTGCTTAGCTACAGTTTCTTTTTTAAATGAACTGACTTTTGGCATTCATAGAGCTAATGAATATTTGTAATTTTTGCCAGTTCTAATTTTAGCCACCTGGAATCTTCATTACAGGACATGCACGTAATTAAACAGCCTTCTTGAGAGCTTGCAGACTGCCCTTACTCTCACCATTTACACATTTGAAATGGTCAAAATATTTTTTAAATGATCCTATGAAGCTATACCAGGCTAGAAAGGCAATATAATAAAATATCATTCTCATAATCTTAGTTTTATGGTGGACCCAATTTCTGCATGTGAGCCGTGCTCCTGCGGGATGTGTGCGTGCAGGGGGGTGTGAGCCGTGCTCCTGCGTAGGGGCTGGCAAGTGTGCTCCATGTCCTGTATTTTTTCTTTTAAAGCACCAATGACACATACACAGAGGAAGTCCAGCTCCCTTTATATAAACTTGTTTTATTAAAACTAGTATTTTCACTCAAGTTTTTAAGGACTCCTTTATTTCACATGAACAAAAGCATCTCGCAGCAGGGCAGCCCCGTGGGGGGGGTTAACCATCTCGGGGCTGCTCCGGCGGCTCCTGCCCGCAGGCAGGACCACGAGGCTGCCCCGGCACCGCGCTCCCTCTGCACCGCAGACGTGGCCCGGCGTGGGATGAACACCCCGCAGGGACCTGCAGCGAGTCAGAAATCAAACACCGTGGTGGATCCCGAGAGCAGCAGTAAGCTGCTTAAGGTTTTTCAGGTTGGACTGCCTCAGTGGTGCTCCAGGGATGGGAGGGGCGGTGGGATGCTGCCCGTGCAGCGCTGTGGTTCATCCCCTTTGCCCCGCTCCCCGGGTGGTCCGGGCTCACATGGGTGCTGC